TTAGTGGGTTCAAACTGCTGACCTTTAAGTTAATAGCCAAGCTCTTAACCACTTGGCTCCCAAGCAGTTATGTGTTACAGTGTAATAGCTGTTGTTAAATGCCACCAAGATTGGAACCTTGCCCTAGCCTGCACCGGTCACATGATCTCTGCCATGCTGAAGCCCACTGTCACAGTCACTGTGTCAGTTGTAGCTAATAATAATAATAATAATGTTGTTGTTATGTACCATTGAGTCAGAACCAACTCATAGTTGGTTGATCCTCTGGTAGTAAATTGCATGGGAGGAGACTGCCCATCTTTCTTCCTCAGGGGGGCTGGTAGATTTGAACCTCATACCTTTGGGTTGGCAGCACCACTTCTTACCACTAAGACACCAGAGCTCCCTAACTGGTAATAGAAGCAACTACCATTTAGTGTGTTATCCCCTAAAAAAATCACAGGAGAGATTAGATCCATTTTCCAGATGAGGAATTTAAGGCTCAAAGAGATTAACTAACATGTACTAAATCACTGCTTGAGGAAGAGCAGGGCTGAGATAATTACCTGGGGCAGCCTAACTCCTGGCCTCCCTAATCCCAGGATCCAACTGGTCCAACATTTTCCTCCTCGATACCCAGGATGGGGCAAAGGGCAAGTCCTTAATGAACCCTTGGGAGGTTGCTGACAGGATGATTAAAGACATTTTCCGAAGCGGTGGCTGCGTCTAATTTTGGAGAGTGGTACCTCGTGTGTGACCAGGGAGGGGACCTGGGAGGCATTCAGACTCTGGCTGCAGGGCTGTCTCGTTCGGAAGAAGAGTCTGGCTCCCACAAAACGAAGGCGCACGTCTCCCCTGGCCCAAAAGGCTTTCAGCACGCGTTGGGGGAAAGCCCTGAACCCTGCGGAGCCCGCATCACCCGGCCCTGGTCCAGGGCTCCAACATCATTCCACACACACATCCCTCACTATTCTGTCCCTGCTACCTACCCAGCGGTTCTGCTGTTCCTAAAAACATGTCTGTTAGGTTCCCCCAAAATATGTGTCCATTTAACTAGGCTACAATTTGCAGGATTGTGAAGCAGTTGTCCATTTTGTCATCTGATACGATCACCCTCCACTTTGTGCTGTGTTGTAAATCCTGGTCTCTTTGTGCTAATGAGGATCCGCCACCGGGTAGTAGGTTAAACACTGGGCTGCCAACTGAAAGGTCAGAAGTTCAAACCCACCAGTCTCTCTGTGGGAGCTAGGTAAGGCAGCCTCTTTGTGTTGAGCTTCAGGAAACCCAATGAAGGATTGCCATGTGTTGGAATCAGTTTGTTAACAGTGGGTAATGAAGCAGGGTTAGCTTATACTGTTGTGTGGAGTCAAGTCAAAACTGACTTGGAGCTGATCATCCAGCTGTTTTTCAGAGACAGCAAATCACAACAGGAGGTGATTGTCCAGAATTCTTCCATAGAGAAGATGGTGCATTCAGACCTCAAGCTTTTGGGATTTCAATGCAGCTTCTTACCTCTAGGCCACCAGAATACATATTGTTATTGTTGTTAGGCTGATATCAAGTATGACTTACAGTGACACTAGGAAAGCAGACCTGAACCCAGCCCTATCTTGTGCCATTTTCATCATCTCTGAGTATACATTAGTGAGCAACATTAGTGTTGCGTTATATCAATGAACCAGATTGAAGTGGGATGTGACACCTTTACTCAGGTCACAGCACTGATCAGGGAGCTCTCCTGAGTGTAGCCTGCATCACCTTTGATCTTATAAGAGCTAAAAAGACAGCAAAGCAAGAAGGACCTCAATACCACCAAGAAAAAAGAGCTGAGAGTGGAAAGAATCCTTTGAACCTAGGGTCCCTGTGCTGAGAACCTCCTAGACTCAGAAGCAGGCTAATATCAAGGTGCATGGAGCCTTCAAAGGAATGATGGGCTCACAGGTGTTCAGGGAGACAAGGGTTTCCTTCAGAGCTAAAAAGATAGAAAGCTTTCCTTTCGAGCAAGCACCTTCTAAACTCCTAAAGTGTGGAAGAATACATTCCTATTTGTTAAAGCCACCCACGTGTGGTATTTCTGTTACAGCAGCACTAGACACCTAAGACAATGTCAAGCCCAGTCGTTTTCCTCTACCCAGAAGCCTCTTCTCTCTGGCCTTCCCCATCCTGCTTCTTACTCTGAAACACCACCCCTCACTCAGTTTGATCCCACGAGCAGCTTCTAGAAGTGTTTTCCTGTTTACACTCCCATAGGAAGCTTCTTGAGGCCCTGTCTTGTTTATAGCCCTGGCCCTTGAAAGCCACAGTCGGGATTCGCAGATAGTGACTACATAGATGAATGAATACATTTTCTCCCTTTCAGACATATTGGAAAGTCAACTCAAAGCTTCCCTGGACCCACACATGTGTATCTCTATGCCTCTCATCCAAACCCTCAATACGCACCCACATCCCTTCATTTGGATCAAGAAAGGCACTAGGGAAGGCATTGATATCCATCCTGCTCTGCACCACTTTGCATTATTAACTGAGCCCAGAGACAATTGAGGATCATCTCAGTTCCTTAGCTGGGAACCTGAAGCTGTGTCTCTAGAGCCCAGCACAGTGCTTGGTACATGTGACCAGTAAGATGAATGGCACTAGATCAGAGAGGCTCACAGGAACCTTGGTGGCAAAACGGTTAAGTGTTTGGCTGCTAACTGAGAAGTCAGTGGTTTGGATCCACCAGCTGCTCTGTAGGAGAAAGGTGTGGTAGTCTGCTTTTGTAAAGATTAGCCATTACTGTTGGACCAATTCCAACTCAGTTCAATCAACCCTGAAAGAGTGAATGGAGTGGTAGTTTGGGGGGGGGGGAGGGGGTTGTTGCCTTTTGAGAGGTTCAGCAAAGGGCTCAAGGTCACTGAACTAGGGAGTGTGTCCTCGGTTCTGTCCTGTCCAGTGATTTTTGTACTACACTGTGTAGCCCTCTGAGGCACCAGAAGAAACTCTCAGGACACAGCCTTGTTCACATCCAGACACACTCAAGAATGAGCCTCCCAGAAATCAGCCAAGTGCCAAGCAGACGCATGGCCATCCTGTACCTGGGCTTTCAATATGCCCACAGCCTGGAGCTTGAGCAAACCTTCCACCCTGTGCCACCTGCTACCCTCCCTGCCCCTGCCACCCTCCTCACCCCACTCCCAAACTGCCCTCTTCCTTCCCTGTTACAAAGGGGATGAGTGGCAAATAAAAGGGCTTTCAGACACCAGGCACCTTTTTTTTTTAAAAAAAAAAAAAAAGAGTCCCAGTTTTGTCTCTGTCAGCATTTCTACCCCCTACCCCCCATGACACATTAGAGGAAGACTTTGTAGAAGTATCCAGAGCTAAAAACCCACTGCCCCAAGTCAGGTCTAACTCACAGGGGCCCTACAGGACAGAGTAGAATTCCCAGATGGTTCCAAAGGTGGTAAACTTTTATGGAATCACACTGCCCCATCTTTCTCCCACGGAATGGCTCGCAGGTTTGATGTGCCAAGTTTTTGGTGGATAGCCAAGTGTTTTAACCACTGTGCCATCAAAGTTCCTTTATCCTGAGCCAGAAGGGACTTTAATGGCCACTTAAAGCAGCTGGCCAATTCCCCCCCCCCCCCCGTGAATAGCAAGATAGTAAATATTTTAGGCCTTGTGGGTCATGAGGCAAAATCAAGAATCTTAAGCAGATAATTTCATACAATTTTCATGTATGATAATATAGTGTTCTTCCTTTTACTTCTTTTCCCCAACCATTTAAAAAATGTAAAATCCACTAATTTCCCAATTGATACAAAATATAGGCAGCAGGTTCAGTTTGACCCAGACTCCATGGCTTGCTAGCCACTGATGGAAAGCATTACTTCTTAAACTTTAATAATGAAAGTCACCTGCAAAGCTTATTCTACCATTCCCGGGCCCACCCTACCATGTCAGTAGGTCTTTGAGGACCCTGGAATTTGCATTTCTAGCAGGTGGACAGGTGATGTTTGATGCAGCCTATGCTCCAACCCCATTGCCAGGAGTGCTAATCTTCTAAGTGCCCCATTCTGCAGATGAGGAAACTGAGGCCGGGATGCATGATATGGGCAAAATTACAGCCTGGGGTCAAAGCAATGATAATCTGCTCTGTCAGAGAAAGAGCTTTCAGAGCAAAACACCTGTTTATTTAACCTGCAGAGGACCCGCTTCTGACTGCACACATTCTGTTCTCTGCTCCAACCAACACTAGCTCAGACCCAGTACAATTCCTTGCAGGGACCCAGCTAGGCTGTCACCTCCTCTAACGCATTCCCTGACCGCCTCAAGTTTACCTGCTCCCTTCCAGGCCTCCTCTAGTACCTACTCGGACATGAGGATCTGTCTACATGCACATTTGTGACCCTGGGGCTGTACCGTACTCCGTTTCATAGCTAACCCTCCGTACTAAACTAAAAATCAATACCTACTGTTGCTGTGTTCATTCTCACTCTCAGCAACCCAGTAGGTGGGTTTGAAGACTGAGTCTTTACAGAAGTCGACTGATCGCCTCATCTTTCTCGTATGGAGCAGCTGGTAGGTTTGAACGTCTGACCTTTGGTTAGTAGCCAGCCAGGCACCCTATCAGCTGTGCTATTAGAACTCCCCACCCTTGTGCCATGCCTGAGAAACACGCCAGGAATTAAAGGAAGAGGAGGAAGCGAGAGGGAGGAAGGAAGATAGAAAAGATGAGTGAATGAATGAACTCTGCCGGTGATGAGGCAAAGCAGAGACCAGTCCTGAACTCCGCGCACTTCTGCCCGAGCCAGCGCGCAGTCCACGCTGTAGATGCCCTGCCTGTGAGCAGAGCCTTCCACTGTCCCGGGAATGCTGGGCAGGCCCTTGTGCTGAGCGCTCCTCTCTCCCTCGTCCCTTGTCACCTCACCTTTACTATCAAGAACACGGGTGCTTAGCGAGGACAGGAGCTGCCCCCCTGCCCCGGTGCCCGCAGGCCCCGGCCCCACGCCCGCCCTGCCGCAGGCCCAGGCCCCGCTCACCTCCGTCGGCGTAGGTCTCAGTGCCATAGCCGTCCTGCAGGCCGTTGTTCCAGGTGCCCTCGTACTTGGCGCCGCTGCTGCTGCTCTGGCGAGTCCCGTAGCGCCCCTTGAAGCCGTGCGTCCACTCGCCCTTGTAGAGCCAGCGCCCCTTGGTCTCTATGCCCAGCCCGTGGCGCTTGCCCTGGCTCCAGTAGCCCTCGAAGGTGTTGCCGCTGGGCCAGGTGTAGACGCCCGCCACCTCGAAGCCGAAGTTCCAGGAGCCCGAGTACTCGCCCTGGCCTTTGGGGCCAGTGCACAGCCCGTGCCCGTGGGCCTTGCCCCCCTCCCAGCCTCCGCAGTACGCCCCGCCATCGTCAAAGTCGAAGCGGCCCCCGCTCATCTCATCGTAGCCCCCGACCACCTCCCGGGCCTCCAGCTTGGGGGGGAGGGCGTCCGGGGTGCCAGCGACACTCTCCGGGGGGCGCACAGGGCTGCGTCCCCAGACTCACCACCACGCCCCTGGAAGGGGACAGCGAGCTGCCACCAGAGGCCAGGCGGGCCCAGGAGCCAAGTCAGCACCGGGCTGGGTGGTCAGTGCCATGCTGGGGGCCCCCCCAAGGAGCCGGAGGTGGCGCTTGGGGGGAGGAACAGGGAAGGATTCAAAGTCCCCCAGGCGTCCCAAGCCTGGCTTTCATGAGTCAGAGGGAGAGAACGATCCCTTTAAGCAGCACTGTGAGAGGGGTGAGGCGGAGGGACCCCCAGGCCAGTTCCACGAGGGGAATCCCCGGGTGACAGCCCCTGCACGAGGCTGGAACCCCTGGACCCCTCCTCCTCCAGCCAGTGGGCCCGCGAGGCGGGCGGTCCCGGGTCCCCGCCCCTTCTGCGATTCTGCCCTCCTCCATGGAAAGGTCAGTGTTGCCCTAACAAGGCCATTGGATTTCAGAAGCTGCTCCCAAAATAGCCCCCCTGGCTAGCCAGCCTCCTTCAGGGCGGGAGGGGGGGGCCTCGGGCCCGGGCGCGGCTGGAGGGATGAGAACCGAGTGGAGATACGGAGCAAGGCAGTTCAGTGTCTGTTCCCGGGATCCCAGAGTTCACGCGGAGGAGAGAGCCCAACAGCACACACAGTCCTGGGACCCCCAGATCCGATATCGGCAGCTCCCAGCCCACCATCATTCAGGAGCCACAACACCCCAACCCAGAGGGAAATCTGGAGGCGGAGAGCGAGGGGAGCCCAGATGCCACACAGAGACTTTCAAGAGGCGAGCAGAGAACTCCGCAGAAGTGGGGGCAGCCTCAAATTCTCCTCGCCCCAGACGCCTGGGAAGAGCGAGGGACAGAAATCACTTTTCTCTCTCTCCTAAAGAATAAGGTCCTTCTCTGAGCGGAGAGGGTAAGGGCTGGCTTGGAAACAGGCCAGGCGAGAAATTTTTGAGGTATTCCCCCCTCTTCCAAGTCTTTATGTCCTGGGGACCTAGAGGGCTGATTTCAACAAGCTCTCTCTGGGCAGGGTTAGAAATCACCTATAAAAGAGACAGAGAGACAGGGGAGGATTGTCTGTTTGTCTGTCTGTCTGAGGGTAAGGGAAGTGGGAAGAGGAGAAAAATCATGGGGGTGGGGAGCAAGCTCAGGAGGTACTTGAGAACATTAGATTCTCTCCAACTTTCAGACAAACTCTAAATCTCGTGAGGACTTGGGCTGCTTAAAAGTCATCAGACATTTTTCTAGAAGGGGTAGAGAATGTCTTCTCCACCCCAGCTTATTGCCAGTTGACTAAGTTCTTGGCTGTTTGCTCACAGCCCCCTCCTTAAAGAGCCCCTCAGTGTCCACTTTTCACCACCAGGGAGATACACCAAGCCTCTCAAAGTTTCCTATCAATGGCTCTATGCCAAGCTGACACCAAATAGTAGGAGGTGAAGGCTGTCTGGTACTGCCCAGGCTGACTGGCAGGCTGTCTGCACAATTCACTTTTAAGAATACCTTACTGCTGCCTCCAGAGTCCTGCTCTGCCACTCCTCAAGGTAGAGGAAAAACTTGAAGTTGTCAATGATTTCATCCTACTAAGAGCAAAAAACGGTTGATAGAAACAGCCGTCAGGAAATCAGAAGGCATGTTGCACGGGACAAATCAATGCTAAATGATCTCTTGAGAGTTTTTAAAAGCAAAGATGAGGTTGATGTTTAAAGCACCTCTTATCTAAGCCATGATCTTTTTCCATCACCTCATATGTAAGTGAGAACTGGACACACAAAAGAGGAAAGAACGGATGCGTTTGAAATGTGGTGCTACTGGGTGAAAAAAAGAAACTGGGGCTGCAAGAAGAACGAACAAATCAGTCTTAGAAGAAAGAGAACCAAAAGTTGTGACTTGCTTCCTTTGGCACATCCTTAGGAAAGACCAATCCTAAAATACAGAACCCCTCTGTGAGGAAAGGAAATGTCAGGGGACAGGAAGGAAGCGCCATGAAATGGATTAACACCGTAGGCACCACAGTGAGCTCACAAGCAGTGCTGAAGACAGCATGGGACCAGGCAACCACGTACTGTTGTTCACAAGGTCACAGGTCACAGGGGCTGGAGCAGGCCAACAGCCCTTTACTCCAAAAACACACAAACGTGAATCCATTAAGCCTTCACCGTGATACCATTTATCTGGGGTGGAAATGCAAATTCTCCACAGGGGCCAAAGCAGAAGGAAGCCTTTCAATGCCTGCCACGAAAGGATTGTCAGTATTCATAGTATCTATCTTCTAAGGCTTGCTTTCTTTTGTTGCTGTGAGTCCATTCTGACTCACAGCTGACCCTCCAGTGGGCTTCCAAGGCTGTAACTAGCAGAGGAGACTCTCATCTCACTCCTTTGGGGCAGCTGGTGAAATCGAGCCACTGTGGATCACACCACTAGAGATTCCAAGTTATAAGGCGAGGTGAGGATATTGTAAGAACACTGGCAAGGGACTTAGAACATAGTACGTATCTAATGAATGTGAGCTATTATCCTTACACAGTAAGATTTTCTCAGACTCTTCATTCACTCATCACCAGGTCAGAATCGGTTCATAGCTGACCCTTCAGCAAGTTTCCAAGGCTGTAAATGGCACAGGAGACAGTCCATCTTTGCCTAGGGCTGATGGTCAATTTTAATTATCAAAGGCTCAGCCTGTGAGTTAGCCGTGCAATGCCCAGGGAACCACACCAACAGATTCCAGTTATGCTTCGAAAAACACTGTGCTTAATGACACAGTCACCAGAGGGAATCCCCTCCACCACTAAGTATCTCGACCTTGAAACATTGCTTACTCTCTTCAAGTACATTAACTGGTTACTAGGTGTTTTAAATTGCTAGATCCAATTACTAGTAAAGGATCACTCTGGAAAGTTTGAAGAAATTCTTTACCAAATTTGGTGCCAATCTTACCTGAGGTTTTTGACGTCATGTTTTGTTCTGGCCTTTAAACTAGCCTATTTGTTTCAGAAACAAATTTTGAAAGAGTAAAGGGAGACCTCTTGTGGCCGTATGTGTCTTATAATTGATTTTCTTTAGGAAAACAAACTTTTAGACCAAAAGGAACTAATAAGTAAACAAATTTTAAAAAAAAAAAACAAACCAAAAACTTTTCACATAAAAAGAAACAAAACTGTATATTATTCCTAACTTTACAGATATGGAAAATCATATTAAAAAGTATTAAAGACTTGCTCACAAGTCTTCATGATACACACAAAGAGAACACATACTTTTTTAAAAATAGTAGCATGTTATGTTAGGCTGCGCTAGCCAAAAAGCTTGTAATTCAAAGGAAAAACTATGAGGCAGTCTCCTGTTAATACTGATAACCTTGGAGATCTGGGTGAAAAACAATGTATACAAACTTTTAAATAAACCAGTATAAAATTTTAAAAAATTGAAAACCTTGGAAAGAAACTTATACAGGATTCTCCCCATGTCAATATAACTCAATGGCAGTGCATTTTATGCTGTTTGCTTTCACATTCAGGTCTTTTCTTACTCCATTTTTTTGCTCCTTGGTCAGAAGCTTAGTTCTCACACAGCATGACTTTAAATAGAATCCAGCTACTGAGGGCTCCCCTGTATTTATAACTCCAGCCATTCATCTACTTAATTACTACTTTGTGAGGGTCAAGCTATTATGACTTACTCAACATCTCTCCATGATTATTTCAGAACATCTCAAACTTGACAATAAAACTAAACACTCAATTTCCTCTCCCACATCTACACTTTTCTTTCAACACCCAAGTGCTATACATTTAGACCTCACCAAATAAAATACACAAGAATTAAACTGACTACATCTATGGAAACAGAGAATGGAGAAATTCAGGATCATTTGTCAGAACCAGACCATCTGCAAACAGATGCTAAATTGACTACTTGCCAAGTTGAAGCATTCCCGTCACCTATCCTCACGTTGCATCTCAACATCAAGAAAAACATTCTCACCACTAGACTGATAGATGGCATCATGGTAGATGGAGGAAGGACTGGGACTGTCAACACCATCATCTTACTTGAATCCACAAATAACACACTTGTTACCAGGAGTCAGATCAGGAGACACTGCATTTGGAAAGTCTGTGGTCAGGGACCTCTACAAATTACTGAGGAACAAAGATATTTGAGAACTAAGGTGCGCCTTATGCAGATGATGGTCCTTTTCAATCACTTGCTGTGCATCTGAGAAGCTAGACAATGACTAAGGATGACAGAAGAACTGATTTCTTTGTGGTGTTGGAGAAGAGCACTGAAGAGCCTGTGGACTACCAAAAGGACAGATAGGTCTTGGAGGTGAAGCCAGATTGCTCCTTGGAGGCAAGAATGGCAAAGCTTCATCTCATATACTTTGGTCTGTTGCAAGGAGAGGATATTCCTTGTGGAGGACATCATACCTGGGAAGGTAGAGAGGGTCAGTAAAAGAGAGGAAGACCCTCAAGGAGACGCATTGACACGGTGACTGCAGCAATGGGCTTGAGTATGTCAGAGACTGTGAGGTTGGCACAGGATAGGCCAGAGTTCAGACCTGTTGTTCATAGGATTGCTGTGAGTAGTACTAGACTCGATGGCATCTAACAATGAAGAAAATGAGGTCCACAAAAGTAAAAACAGCATTGAGGATACTACCTGAGGGGCATTTCAAGACGAGACTGGATGCACTGAAAAGAAATGAACACTAGGTAAACTGTGGAAGGACATCAAATATAGAGGAAACAAAAGATCATTTGAAAAGACAGGAAAGCAAGCTCAAAACACTTGTCATAAGACACTCTGAAACTAACTTTGGAATGTAGTGAAGTTAAAACAAATGGAAGAAATGATGAAATACAAGCAGTGAATAGATTTCAAAAGGCAGCTCAAGACAATAAGTTACAATGAAATGTGCAAAGATGTGGCGCAAGGAAGAACATACCTGGATGTTTCTCAAGTGGAAAGATGTGAAGGGAAGGGAAAAAAAAACCCCAACCAAGTCTTAAGTTGCAATACTGAAGGGCTCTATGGGCAAAAGGATCTTTGGTAGTGGAGCATGTTAGTAGTATGGCTGTTAATTGGAAGGTTGGTGACTCAAATTCCCAACCGCTCCACAGGAGATGGACAGTCTCTTCCAAATAAGCCCTGGAAGCCAAATAGAAGGTGACTCACTATCACTGTATCAAGTCGGAACCAACTCACAGGTGATCCCCCAGTGGATTCTCAGAAACATTCAAAGCGTAAAGCAGGACCTACAACAATGGGATCAAACAGCATCAATTCTGACGACATAGATCAGGGAGTGTCCTGTTCTGCTGTACACAAGGTTGCCAATCAGAGCGGACTCAATGGCACCGAACAATATTGGCAAAATACTGACCACCACTGGAAACATCCAAAGACAGGATAGAGTCATTGTAGTGGAAAGAACAGATGGACAAATCACCATTTCAAGTGGTAGCAAATGATCAAGATCCAAAGGGATTAAAGGAAATAACAAGCCTATGTTAGATGGATCTTGGCTGAATGTTAAGAGAATCCTACAAAGATACTTACCTGAGTTTTACTGACTACGCAAAAGTATTCAACTGTGTGGATCATAACACGTTATGGAGAATACTGTGAAAATTACACTTAAGTGTACCCTAGTGGAACCCATGTAAACACCCAGAGAAAATCATTTGAAAAGAATAAGGGGTATTATGTGGTTTAAAATCAGGAAGTGTGCGTCAGAGTGGTAATCTTTCACCATACTTATTCAACCTCTATACTAAGCAAATAAGTTGAGAAGCTGTGCTCTGTATGAAGGATGCAACATCAGGATCTGAGGAAGAATCATTAACCACCTGTGAAGTGCAGGCAACCTAACCTTGTTTACAGAAAACAAAGATGACTTGACGTTTACTGATGAAGATTAAAAGACAAGTCTTCAAAATGGATTGTTATGTGCTGTCAAGTTGCCTGTGGTTCATCGCGACCCTATGTACAATAGCTCTGAAGCTTGCCCTGTCCTGAGTCAGTGTCACTGACTCTCATACACCGACCCCCATTGCCCTAATTACTTTATCAATCCCTCTCATCCAGGGTCTTCCTCTCCTGAGCTGTCCCTCCACCCTTCCGAGCATGATGTCCTTCTCCAACGATCAGTCTCTCCTGGCCACATGCCCAAAGTATGTGAGACAGAACTTCAAAATCCTAGCCTCCAAGGAGAAACTTGGTTTCACCCTCTCCAAGACAGACCTATTTACTGTCTTGGCAGATTCTTCTCCAGCACAACTCAAAGTTATCAATTCTTCTTCTATCCTCCTTAGTCATTATCCAGCTCTCTGATGCATAGCAAGTAATTGCCAAGACCACAGACCGGATCAGGCGCACCCTTAGTCTCTAGACGAAGGATGGGTTACACAACATAAATAAAACTGGACCAAGAAGCAAAATCATGTTGCATGCCAAAAAGTCTCTAAGGCTGTCAAGGATTTAACTTGGCTTTGATTCACAATCAACATCTAGGAAAACAGCAATAAAGAAATCAAAGTATTGCTGTGGGTTAATCTGTGGCAAAAGACTTCTTTAAAGTATTACAAAGCACAGCAATCCCTTTGAGGATGAAGGCATCTGACTCAGCCCTGGTGTCTTCAGTTGTCTCCTATGCATGCCAAAGCTGAATCCTGGCTAAGACGAACAAAGAACTAATGCACTGAATTCAAGTGTTGGCTAAGAATACTGACTGCCAGAAAACCCAAAGTACAGCCACAATGTACCTTAGAAACAAGGATAGCACTTGAAAAAAAATGTAAACAATCCTCAGTCTACAACAGTCCATTTTCATAGAAAATCATAATCCAAAGAAGTGCACCAGTTAGTTATTGGCCCAAGTGAGTTTGAGCAGAGTAATTTTCAGCTTCAAGATTTATATTCTAAAAAAGAAAGAACATGGAAGAAAAAGAAAAAATTTATATTCTGAGGAAGATTTGGACTGAGATATACATTCTTGCAACTCAAACAAATCTGGAATGTTTAAAACTTCTATTCAAGTCTGGATTTCCTCAACAGCTTCCCAAGATACTGAAATTCTTTTCAATCCTTACAACCACTTTCTACTCCTTTTTGGAGGCAAAGATGGCAAAGCTTAATCTTTCATACTTTGGACATGTAGCCAGCCAGGTGAGGCTATTTCTTCAAAGGGACATCATGCTTGGAAGGATGGTCAGTACAGGAGATCTCCAGTGAAATGGATTGACACGGTGACTTCAGCAACGGGCTCTAGTGTGTCAGAGACGAACTTGTCACAGGATAAGGCAGGGCTCAGGTTGGCTGTTCTTGGAGTCACTAAGAGTCATACTTGATAGCGTAACAACTCCCCTTCATCATACCAATCACCTATGGAATAAAAAAGCATCCTTCATTTTCCAGTGACTAATCTGTTAATATAAAGAACAATGACCCGACTAGTGGTTTGAAAGGCAAACTGACAGGGACAGAAGACTTAGCAGCCCATCTCAAACTGTTCCACTATTAACCTGTAACAGGTATAACAAAACACCAGCTGGGTGGGCGGAACACTGCCTGACCATCTACAAATTGTGGTGGCCTGGATTAGTGGTACCCAACGTGTGGTCCTAGGCTCCCAGAGTCTCCAAGACCCTTCTAGGGGACCTTTAAGGTTAAAACCATCTTCAAGATACTACCTGCCCTCTTCTCATGTTCATTCTCAAAGTCCAGTCGTTCTCCAAAAATTGCACAATATATGGTATCACAGACTGGATGCAAAAGCAAAGTATGAGAATCCAGCTGTTTTCTAGAAAAGCAAAATGGTAAAGAAACTGACAAAAAATATGCCAGTCTTCTGAATTTTTAGTTCTGGAAGATTTTTTGCAAACACAAAAATATTTATGGTAACGATAATTTATTAAGTGAATACACATTTTAAAAAAATGTCTTTATAAGGGAGCTCTGGTGGCCTAGTGGCAAGAAGCTGCACTGCAATTCCAGAGGTAAGTGGTTCAAATCCACCAGATGCTCTGCTGGAGGAGGGGTAATCTTGTCTTGTACCAGTCAGATCTGTTTTGATGGTACATGCACAAAAAATAAAATTTTTTTTAATAAGTTTTTATAATAAGGTAACTCTTGATATAACCTATATTCAAAGTCTCTGGGGTCCTCAATCTGTCAGGTGAAAGGAATCTTGAGGGGAGCTCTGGTGGCAAGAAGCTGCACTGCAGTACCCCAGAGAACAGCTGGAATCCACCAGATGCTCTGCTGGAGAAGGAGGGACAATCTCTTCCTGTACCAGTCAGACCCAATTTGATGGTACACACACACAAAAATGATAAAAAATTTAAAAAATTTTTTTTAAAAAAAGGAATCTTGACAGCACCATTACTTTGAATGTATGAACCAGCATGTCTGTTCCCATTAGTAAGAAAGAGGCCACTACAACACTCCGACTTTAATCCCAGCCTCCAAGGATTACTAAATCTGTATGACACTAGGAACTAGCAGGTGGCTCCTGCCACTTAAGTGCTTGGCTTTTCTATTAAATAACCTTCTCATTTCTCCTAAGTACAAACCATCTACACGTAAAGGCCAAATCTCAGTTATAAAACAGCCCATACAACCGATGAGATGCTTTAGTAAGTAACAATCTGTAATCTAAAAAAGTACAACAGATCACATTCTGTTGAAATGGGGGAATAAATTTTCAGTTTGGTGGGGTACGTCCTCTGACAGTCTGAATTAAACTGGGTTCACCTTCTAGCTATTTATCAAGTTGTGACAAGAATGTTGGGATGTTCTCCTAGAAACACAAAGGAGTGCTGCTGGTTTAGAGGAGAGGAGGTGGGCTGACAACTGAAAAGCACGCAGTTCGAATCTACCAGCTAGTCCGTGGGAAAAAGATGGGCAGTCTCCACCCCTGTGGTTTACTGCCTCTGAAAATCCACTAGAGGGTCAGCTGCAATTTGATGGTACTTAACAACTAGAAACACAGGATATGACGTATATTCACTTTTGGGGTGGCTTAGGGGTGAGAGGGCAATTTAAAGCAACAGCATTCATCCAGAACCTTTGAAATTCGTGTGTCAAACCCATCTAGTCCACCTGATGAAACAGGCCATACTTCCTATCATGATGCCAGAGACAGGGATGACACAGACAAGTTTCAAGTAACTATACCTCTGACCAACCCAAAGCAAGCAGCCCACTCTAAGGTGCTTCTTTCAGGAAACTTCATGTAATGTGCCTGAGGGTGAACAGTGACAAGGGGATTTTTTTTAGTGAAAGTTAATGACTCTCTCAAGCTCTATGGGGCTAGTTCAGTTAGTTTATTCATATTGACTCTAAACCTTCAATCTCTGGCTCAACAATAAACATAAGAAACCTTTAAAGACAATAAATCTTCCGTTGTTATCAGAGATGGTTGAGATCAGTCAGAACTGCAGCATGACAAATGTTCAGTTCTGTTAACAAAATTACATTTGATTTTCCTTGGTCACCACACCGTAAACAGATCTGGGAAATGGGACTGTTTCACAAAAGCTTTTACCAGGTACCCACTACCGCCAGTCTCAAGGAATTACTCTTTCTTCATCTCCCAAGAACGTTTCTAAGAGGGATTTGTTTGTTAGATCTGCTTGCCTCGGTCGGTGAGAACACAGAGCAAATTCAAAGAATGAAGATTAACTGAGATGCCAAGAAATGTTTTTATTGCAAGCACAGTGAGCAGGAGATGTCTTCTCACACAAAGGCTGTGAGGGCTGCCACTCACAAAATCGCTGACAACCCTTCATTGGTTTAAAGCAAAGTAGTCTGCTTCCCGCTATCAGGTGTACATCATTTCTGCCATGTGGGACATTTTCTTGGGAATATATAAGTAATATTCCATGTAGCCTGACAGGTCCTCAATGGTCACATCATCCACATAGACTCGTGCTTGCTCAGAACAGGAGCGGGGAGAGCCAGACAGAGTTCTGGTGTGGAACGACTGAGAGTAGTCCTCGAGCACGGTTCTTCGTTCTGGGGCCAAGGGCGGGACGTTCTGCAGGCCGGAGAAGGAGTACACTTCCATATCGTGCCATCTCTTACACTGGCACTCCTTGCCCACGCAGGCACATGGCTTGCCCTGGTTTAACTTGGAAACAGAGTGAAAGTCAGAGAGATCATTGGCCTTCAGACTTGCGTGGGAGACATGGGTGGCATCAGAGGAGTCTTCCTTTTCACTCTCCGCTGGGAGCCCTGGAACCGAAGTTCTCAAAGGCTCAGCGGCTGCCCCAGCAGGATGGGCATCCGGAGGAGGAGCACACTCTCCGGCACTGAACTCTTTTGGGGCGGAAATCCCCAGCCCGCTGCTGCCATCAGGGCCGTCAGTCTGGCTTTTGTGCTTCAGCTGGTTGCTGGAAGAAGCGCCTATCGTACTGCAATGTATAAACTTTGGAGGATGAAGAACAGGCGATTTAGAACGTCGTCTACGCTGGGTCCTTGCTGCCCCTCGTGAAGACTTCCTCGTAGATCTAAGAAGAAAACCACAAGATATTAGGATCCAGAATCCTCCTAAACAGGTTCTTTCTGACTAGCTGAGAAATTACCTCCTCGCATGTTTATGAGACTAAAAGTCACAAAGTTCCTCCACAGAGATGTCCTGTCTCCATTTTCAAGTTGCTCAACAGGTAAAATACAGGGTAGTTCTCATCGAGTCACTTGGACTAAATAGTCAGTGGTGAACCTTTGACCAGTGAGTCTGGGAACCTTCCTACAGATGGATTGGCTAAAGCTGTGAAGCATCCCTGCTGTGTATCCCAGACTTCAGGACTACTGCAGGGGTTAACGCTACAAAATGGCCACAGTCCAACGTTACTAAACAGGCAACTCAGCGAAGATTTATTTCTATCACAAGTGACTTCTGACAGATTCAGATTCTCCAAGGTTTTCAGAAATTGGAATCATCTGGTATACTACATTATATGACTATTCCCAGGGCAGGGAAATGAAAAGAAACGAGCAAAGAAAAAAAAAAAGAAGTCTAAAAAAAAAAAAAACCCAACAAAATTTTTAAAAATAAAAAAATGTAGGGAGCTCTGGTGGCCTAGTGACAAGAAACCACACTGCAATCCCAGAAGTGCATGGTTCAAACCCACCAGATAAAATGTGTGTGTGGGGGGGAAGGAAAAAAAAAAAGTTATTCTTGACCTTAAACTAAATGAATGTGTTACTTAGGAAAATATAAACTTAGAATCAACAAATTCAAAGGTAACTCTGAATTATGTATAGTCAGCATATGACAGCTGGGGGGTGAAATGTAGATCCCACCTATTTTCACACAGCCCATGGGCACTGTTCCAATGGACTAAGACAGCAAGCCAGGAAACAAGCTGGGACATCCGTCCCCCTCTGCTCCTTACACCTGCCTTCCTGGCTGGTGGATATGTCACTACACAGCGTTCATGTCCACACTGACTGCTATCTACATGCTCGGCTCTGCTGTTGGCACCTGCTGGGCACTGAAAGGTAGAAAGAATCCTGGTTCAAGTCAACCAAGCTGCTCAGGATCTCGAGAGAGAAGAGCAAGCTGGGATCTAGACATCACCAGAGCAGAGCGCAAAACTGATCCCAGCACTGCAACCCTGCCCCACCCCAACAGACTTCCCTTAGGGCAGTGATTTTTTCCCAAGAATGTCTCAGCAAGGGAGCACAAGCCTCTTCATCTATCGAGAATGGCCCACCTCAGGCAAATGGGCAGAAGAAGGCAGACTATTCTCTTTCCTATGTATTTATATAAATAGCCAAATTTTGCCTGCTCTGGCCAGCAAAGTCTAAAATATTTATAATCTGTCCCTTTATGGAAAACGTCTGCTGATCCCTGACCTGGAAGGAAGCACAGATATAAACGTGGGGGGTGGTGGTGGAAAGACAACAACATATGGCAGACATATCACATAATCTCCAAAGAAAAGAAAAGCCCAGTGAAGAAACAATGGCTAAAACATTTCCTCCCAACAAAGTGTTTCAATACTACCAATATCCAGAACATGTTATAATCACTGATACTCTTAGTATTTCTAAGTCTCTTCTAGATACTCATGGGGGGATATCCCAATATTACTTTAAGGTACTAAGATGGAAATCATGTATAGTAAGCAGCTCTTACCCATGCCAACTGTCTTTCGACGCACACGCAGTTTTTAGTTTGGTGTCATCTGTACTTGTTCTGACTGATGTTCTAACACCCGTGCCTTCTCCAACAGACAGAGATGCTACGGACCTGGAAGACACAATTAAAGGCTACTGCCATCAAGTCACCCAAACACAACTCCTATCAATACCTGCATTTGCTTTCTAATTTTGTATTTCTCAAAAATCATTCTTTTATTATCATTTTTTTTCTCCCAAAGCCAAATTTAGAAGATCGCTAAAAGCCCATGGTTGCAAAAGCCAAATAATGACATAACTGGCAGCATACTATAAATAGACACTCAGGCTGTTTATCTGGGGCAAATCAAGCCTTACATTCAGGAAGAATGCTAATGACACTGATTGATGACTTATTTTATGCCGGCAAATTAGAGCCATGGAAACAAAATTTAGGAATACAAACTAAAACCTCAACCTAACTGCTGTTGTTATGTGCTGCTGAGTCAAGCAGGACTTATAGAGCCTCTCAGAACAAACGATCTGAGCCCTGTTCTGTCCTGTGCCATTCTCACACTTCATGACACAAAAGAGACCACTGCAGCAGTCACTGTCATGACTGTAGAATTAAACCTTTGGTAAAAGACATGAATAAATTTAAGAAAACAACTTAAAATCCTACAATCTACAGATTACCAACAATCAGCATTGTGGATTAATGCCTTCTGGATCTGTTCCACACAGCTAACAAAATCCTACTAATATAGAAAGATGCTCACTAAAATATAACTTAAAATAGCAAATGATTGGGAATAATCTAAATGTCTAATAGCAGAAAAATAACGTATTATATATAATGTGGCACTTCTGTACAATGGAATAGTTAAGAATTACAAAGAATTTTTAATGTATGACAAAATGCTAGTAATAGGTTCAAAGGAAGGAAAGGAACACAGATAGACAAAGTTACATATATTTTAATCTAAACTACATTAAAAAATAAGTTGTGTACCTATTACCTATAAACCACCAAATAGTAATGATTTTAGTTACTTATAATGTTTTAAATTTCCTTTAAAACACTTTTTTGTTGTCAATTTTTCTCCAAGAGCATAACAGTGTATTACTTCTTTACAGGCAGATAAAAATTATATATTCTTTTGTAATAAACATAATAATTTATCCTATAAGAGAAATAATTATTAGGAATCAAGATCTGTTGGACAACATCATGTTAAATTTCTGGAAACATCTGGCTAGCTTATGAGTCAAACATTTATAAATCAGCAATCACATCAAATAATTAGAAATGGATGATGCACTATAGACATTTTTCTGTTGAATCACTGGAATGACTCATCCTTTCCACTCTGTTTGGTTCTCTCCAATGTTCTCGTTGCTCCTTCTTTTCTATAATTTTATATGAGGCAGATCATATGCTATAAATATATTTGGACTCTTTGTTCTACAGGTTATTCTTAAAAATATACCAAAAAACTTTCAGGGGCAATGAAATAGTTTTAACTGTTTGAAATCCCTTTTTTTTTTTTAATTTTCTTGTTTGTGTACCATCAAATCAGATCTGAATAGGAGGAAATTGTTCCTCCTTTTTCAGCAGAGCATCTGATGGATTTGAACCGTGCACCTCTGGGATTGCAGTGTAGCTTCTTGCCACTAGGTCACCAGAGCTCACCTGTTTGAAATTCTTAAAAACAACCAAAAAGAAATCTGTGGACTGCGAGTTACTTATCTCCTCTACCAAGCATATTCTTCTCTTCCAGTACTAAGATTCTCCTGATAAAAGTCTCACTATCCTTGATTCTCAACAGCACCCTGTGACTTCTTCCAAGACAGAATTGTTTGGGTTTGTGGCAGCTCCTGTTGTTTTCAATAGTCTTTGCCAACATAATTCTAAGACATCAATTCTTCTTTATTATCCAACTTTCACAAACACGAGAATTAAAAATACCATGGCTTGAATCAGCTAGTGTTCAAAGTAACATCTTTGCTTTTTAAAGGCGGCTTTTATTCTAGCAATAGATTTCTTGATTATTATTTATAGGAGTGCTGATTATGCAGCCAAGTAACAAATCCTTGACATCTTCAATTATTGTCTACATTTATCATGATGTTGCTTCTAGGCATAGCTGTGAGTAGTTGCTTTCTCTATGTTGACATGTAGCCACAGTGAAGCCTGTACTTTTTGATCCTTATCGGTAAGTGCTTCAAGCCCTCATCACTTCCAGCTTGTTGGATGTTATCTGCACTGCAGGTCATTGATTCTTCCTCTAATTGTGATGCTACATTCTTCTCCAAGTAGTCTAGCTTCTGGGATTATCTGCTCAACATACAAATTGAGCAAGGATGGTAAAAAGATAGAAAACCCTGATACATATGTTTCCTGATTTTAAGTCACACAGTTATCCACCAATTCTCTTCAAGTAACTGTCTCTTGGTCTATGGATAAGTCCTATACGAATGTTCTGGAAGTAAATTTTCCAAAATTCTCACTTTTTGCAACGTTATCCATAAACTGTTAAAATAGTCAATAAATCACTGGTAAGTATCTTTCTGGGATCCTACATTTTTTGCTGAGATCCAAGCTGAGATTACTAATCTCATTCCACATCCTTATTTGAATCCCACTTTGTTTGGCAGTTCCCTATCAATGTACTGCTGCAACTTTTCAACTAAGTTCAGTAAAAATTTATGTGGTTATAATGATACTGTTGGCTATTTTTCATATTCCAACTTTTCTTTGGAATGGGCAGAAACATAGATCCCTTTCAACTGGTTGGCCAACTAACTGTTTTCCAAGTGTTTTTGGCACAGATGAGAGAATACTTTCAGTGTTTTAATTCCTTTGTTCAAACTCGTCAATGGCAGTTCATCAATTTCTGGAGCTGTGCTTTCTGACAGTCCCTGGTACAACCTGGACTTCAAATATAATTATTCTTCATCATATACCTTCTAACACAGTTGAATGTACTTTCCTGATATACCATCTCCAGAAATGGCTGAACATATTCTCCTGATTAATTAAAAAAAAAAAGTTTCTACACCAGACACAGGGAGCTCTTGTGCTTAGTAGTAAGGAATTGTGCTGCCAATGCAAAGGCATGCAGTTTGACTCTACCAGCTGCTCCTGGAAGAAAGATGGGCAATCTCCTCCTGAGTGATTTACTGGCTCTGAAAACCTGCTACAGGGACATCTGACTATCTGTCCTATGCGTTACTCTCCAGCTTCTTTTAAGTGATGTTGTTGTCAGGGGCTAGCGATTTGCCAAAAATAAAAGTACTAGTCAGACAATTATATTGGAAAATATCATTGGAGGTGAGGGAAGAATTATTGTGGAAATAAATTGTGACTACCTGTAATATCTACTGTGGAAATCTATGAATACAAACCTTCTCTGGCAGGTCAAAAATCTTCAAAACACAGGCAAATAACTTTATAAACACTACATTTCACTGTGCATTAGGCACTGCATGTATTTTGTCCTCAAAAGTACTATATAAAGAAGTGGTTAAGAGTACAAGTTTTAAGGGGAGCTCTGGTGGCCTAGTGGTAAGGAACTGCAACTACAATTCCCAGAGGCTCACGGTTCGAATCCACCAGATGCTCTGCTGGGGAAGGAGGGACAATCTCCTCCTGTATCAGTCAGATCTGATTTGACGGTACACTCACACAAAAATAATAAAATTAGGGGAGCTCTGGTGGCCTAGTGGCAAGGAGCTGCAACTACAATCCCAGAGGTGCACGGTTCGAATCCACCAGATGCTCTG